TCCAAGGGCACTCTTGGTTCTGCCCTCTGTCCAATATTGCAGGTTCTAAAATATTAAAATAATAAATGTCCAGGGTCAGCCAGCTCTGAACTGTGGTTGAGAAGGGAATTAAACGCAGCAGAGAAAATGAATAGAGCTGGTTGGAGAGAACACAGTATAAATATTAACTTTTAATTAAAGCCCTTTGCAGCATGCAGTCTGGAAGCAGGTCTCCAATGGGAGAGGAGGAGGACACTGGCTTTTAGGTGAACTCTCCTCAGCTCCATATGCACTAATCCACATCTGATGGGACAGGAAGGGAGCAAGTCCACAAGAATTATGGTTTTCTTCAATTCCTGCACAGGCCCTGCTAATTATAGCAGTTTTCCCCCAGGTCTATGGCTGCATTGGCCCTGGGTCCGGCTGGCTCCTTTTTTCTGGTTCATACTGTCCAAGCCATTTTGTCTGTAGGAGGTCAATGCCAGCACTGTCAGGGTTGGTGAAACTGCATTTGGAGGACAAAGGCAGATGGAGCATATGCCCCAGGACAAAGTAAAAGAAGCTATCCAGAGTGAATTAGTTTCCTTTTTCTACTCCTTTTTCATCTTCTCCTATTCATGAAATGATTAGTCTTGGAATTGTCTCATGTTGTTTCATTTCTAAATAATGCTTTCTCTGTTGTTGGCAAAGTTTTTTATTTACACTTGCAGATCAGCATTTTTAGCTTCCTTAATTTTTTTTTTCTCCTCATCAGCAAGAATATTAACCACTAAATTGAAAAATATAGATTTAGGAATCCCAGAAGAAAACATATGACTTTCTGAAAATACACAATTCTTCCCTGGGTTTGTTTTCCTTTAGCCCAAATTCAGTTTCTCCACCCCAGATACTGTGGAGTTGACGTATGTTTTTCTTAACAGAGGAGAAACCTGTCACTACATGAAATACTAGCATTTCCAGCCTGCTGTCAGTGCAACACACAGTGCTGGTAGAGCCCACCAAGAGCAGGTAGACAGTGGAGCTTCTTTTGGGTAAATTCTCAGATGAAAAGATCACAAAGAGCACAAGACTAACCTGTTCCAAAGATAGATTCCAGTTAAGTTACAAGATATGTGAATTACACCCATTCATTTTTTTTTTTCGAGGGGGGCGGGAATTTGTTTGTATTGCCTAGCTTCAGAATGAGGTCTTTGAGTTCAACACCAAGGCTTCTTAAAGGGAGCAGTGATGAAATCTCATTTCCATACCTGGCTCTCTCTCTGTTTATGAGGTTATACGCCTACCTGCAGATGGATGAGATTTACTCAAAAAAGGTTTGGAGAAAATCAATCAAATTCATGGCTGATGTATTGCAAAAGAGAAGAAATTCAGAGGAAATCTGTGTGGCTGGCTAATGTATCTTTTTACTTCAAACCTCAAGATTATAAAATTATCTTGTCTTAATAACACGGGTGACAAAGATGTCAACAAGTCAGTAACTACAGTGATATTTATCTTCTTCTGGGCTGATCTGATTGTTGGTGACCCAATCCCTCCACAGACATCTATATTCATGGCTTGTCTGACATCTACCTTTTCTACACCTTCCGTTCACACTGATCTTGGATTTCCCTTCCTTTTTCTTACTTCTCTGGTTCCTCCTCAGCTTATTTCCCTCTAAGCATGAGGTCCGCAAATTTTTAAATCATTTCTGAGTTAACAAGTCCACTTCATGTAACTGGTCTCTGCTACCCTTGAGGAAGTTGGTGACCTCCCATTTTTTCCCAGATTTCTTAATAGTCAAAATCATTAAAAAAGGAAAAAGAACGGAAGTGATCATCCTTACATCCTCCACAAAAAAGTGCCTGAATTTGTGTTTCAGAGCGTGCTTTATTGTAGTCTCTGTGAACATCCTGTCTCCGTCTCTTTAGAACAAAGGACAAAGAAGAAAATTCTCATTGTTTTTCCTCTCCTTTCTCAATTACTAATAATGCATCACGCCCTTATGTGCAGGCTTATGATCAATCCATTCACAAGTCAGGGTGTGAATAACAATAATAAAAGCAAGCTTATATCATTCCATTGTGTATTCTCAGCCTTACCTTTGAACCAAGGAAAGAAAACAAATTTGTAATACAGAGAGCTGTAAAACAGGGCTACAGGTGGAATAGAGAATTGCAAGATATAATTGTACTCCCCGGCAAGGCAACAGAGCAGAGAGGATCTTTCATATTGCCTCAGCATAATTTAGAGAGTTTCTCTTAATATTTAGTTATCTGTCACAAAGAGTAAATAAGAAGAGATACCTGGAGTATGCCCGGTGAATTAGTTAGTTTTATTGTGCTAGGATCATTTGGAGAACTGAAAATGATCAGCTCAGCATAATGTTTTTAATAGCTCAGAAGGCAAGTAATTGGTTTGATAAAGATTGTGCTACCCTGTTGCTTTTTTACAGATAAATCAAGCGAGCATTGTGTATTCACATCAGTCAGATAAAGATAAAACACTTAGATAGTCTTGAAGCTTCACGATATAGATCTTCTATTGATTGGTAAGAGGGAAGATTTTAGGTTTTGAGTTATGTGGGGATAAATCTCTACTATATGAGTTTCATTCTGTAGAGTTACAGCAACACGGCACCGCTCAGATGTCAGTGCTTACGCATTCAGTCCTGAGCTGAAACTGGAAGAAAGCCAGAGACAATGAACATAGATGCCTTAAAAAAAAAAGAACATAAAAATTTCTTCCACGTTTATGGAAAAAACAGTTGGCTTCTGTCAACTTAGCCATGCATTTGTCTCATGTGGGCTTTAAAAATGATGGAAAGATGGAAGAAACACCCATCAATATAGAATCATAGAATCCTTAGAGTTGGAAGGGATCCTTAAAGGTCATCTAGACCAACTCCCTTACAATGAACAGGGACATGCACAGCTAGATCAGACTGCCTGGGGCCTGGTCCAGCATCACTCTGAAAGTCTCCAGCGATGGGGCATCCACCACCTCTCTGGGCAACCTGTGCCAGTGCCTCACCACCCTCACTGTAAGAGACTTTTTCTTTATATCCAAACTAAACCTACCCTCTTTAAGCTCTTTATTTCCCCTTGTTCTATCACCATAGACCATGATAAAGAATCTGTCCTCTACTTTCCTGTAGCTTTCCTTCAGATATTGAAAGGTGGCTATCAGGTATGTAGTATATTCAGCAACGAGTTTAAGCAAAGCACATATTGGGGATGGAACACACTGCTTCTGAATTCTCATGGGTCTGCAGCCGGCTGAAGTGCTGCTGGTTGCACCTCTGGTTCCGGAGGGGGAGCCAGATTTCTGCATCCAAACAGTCTCTGCCTGGAACCACCGTGTCAGGCTGGGCTCCTTGTTTGCATGTCTGCTTCTAAAAATATATGTTGTTTGTCAGGATTATGTCGAAAGATGGTTCAGAAAGTCTGAACGTTAGTATAATTCCAAGGACTGTAATCACGCAGGGAGGTGGAAGAGTCATCACCCTGGGAGGTGCTCATGAAATGCGTAGATGTGGCACTGAGGGACGTGTCAGTGGGTGTGGTGGAGATGGGGGGGATGGTTGCACTAAGTGATCTTAGAGGTCTTTTCCAACCTTAATGATACTATGATTCTATGACTGAGCATAGAAATGGGGATATCAGAAAAACAAGCCAAAAAATGAGCTGAATTCTAGAGGTCTTGAAACTCAGGACGCTCCATCCCAGGAGCAGCTGCAGCAGGTCTTGCTTGATGCCTGATACAGTGAGGAACCTTGGGTCTCCTGCACTGGCACACTCACATCACCTCTCCTCCCTCCTTCATTGCCAGGCCTCTCTACACTGCCTGCAGCCCACTGAGTTATTCTGTTTCATGAGTGTGGATGTCACATGAGAAAATACTGCTTGCATATGAGCTGGGTTGTGCCTCACATGACATTTAGATTAATTGTATAAGATTATATATACTATTTATAATTGCATATCCTGTATCATAACTAATTATATAATTACTACATACATTATATATTAATATAATCATATGAAACACTGCCTACTTCATACACAGAGAAATTGTGTATTAAAGAAAGTTATATAGAGTATTGATTCATTTTCCTATATATGCAATCTTATATAACTAATATATAATAGTCTGCATTAATTACACAAAATTCTTTCCAGAATTGGCTATAATGTAAACACTGTAGCTCTGTTAAGACCCGGTTTTACAAAATACCTGTGTTAAGCATCCACTCATGATAGGAAGCTGAGCAGTACCCTCGACTTTCACTGACTAATTTCAGTGTGCCCACTGAAGAAATGGGGTGCATCCATTCTAAAGCTGGGTCTGAAAATACAGCACCTACCGAACTCGAGATCCTGAAACCTATTCACAGATGACAGCACAAAAACCCACAGCATATCTGTCACAAGACAAAAACAGCCTGTCAGCAAACACAAGTTCCCTTGGCTAGTATAGATTTTACCTGTTTACATCCTGCTTCAGTGTGCTGGCAAAGCAGCCAGGGCTGCTTATGTATTATTTGTGTTTCGCACCCCTTCACCTCTCACCTGTCTGACAGCATGCAAACAAACAGGCAAATGCTTCTGCAAAACAAGGAAACCCCAACTGAGACCTCTTACTGTGATTTTTCAAAACTTCAGGGAAGTGTAATCTGAAGAGGGAAGAATTCCTCAGATGGGGAGGGAGTAATCAGCTGTGTTATGAATTCCTTGCCCTTGTTGGGGGTGGGGAAATAGCAACAGGTGAGAGGAGAGCTGGGAGTTTGAGTAAAGCAGTTTCTGCTTGTGCTAAGTAGCTTTCTGCATGTGTTGGTGTTGCAAAGTGTGCTGGCACCCCAAGCTGTGAATCGTGGTAGCACTGAATGTGGTGCAAGGTCTGTCAGTTCTCAGTTCAGGCTTTTGGGAAAAGAATTAAACTGCTGGGGAAAAAAAAAAAAAAAAAATGACAAGAAAAACAATAATATGAAGAGGACAGAGGAGCAGCCTTGAAACCCATTCTTGCTGTGCTGTTTGTGACAGACTGTATCCTGCCTGTGTGCATGCTTGCATGAGAGTTTACTAATACATATAATGTTAATTACCCACTTATGTCCTGAAGCAAGGCTGGGAATGAATTTCAGGAAAAGAGATGTTTGTTTTGCACCATCGCCCACATCCCATACACTCTCGGTCACGAGGAAATTGCCCCGTACCTCCACCCTGCGAGCGCTCGTTCCTGCAGCTGTAGGCACCAAGCAGGGAGAACCCACAGACCTTACAGAAACCCCTGTTCCTCTGCCTCCCCCACCATGGAAAACTCACTCGGGAGCGAGCCCTGGGTCTGTGCACTGCTCCTGCCCCAGCTGAAGCAGTACAGCTGTTGCTTCAGTAGAGAAAGGGATTGGATTTCACAGGCTGTGTAATCTGCGACAGAGCTCTTTGGCTTGGGGAGAGTAACAAGCCTCACCCAGGCTCAGCCATCCCCTTTCTGCCCGTAGAGGAACGCCCCGGTTGACATAGAAGGAAAATTGTTTGCTGAATTTCTGCACAGCCCTCCTTCCAATTGCTGGAGAGAGAGGGGGGAGTGAGAAAGAGAGAGAGTTTAAGGCAGGCTCTGCACTGGTGTTCTGGGCTATTTCAACTTCAGGGCAACTTTAGAGAACTTCAGTTATTTTTGGTAAGTTTTTTTTTTTTTTTTTTTCTAACAAAAGCCTCTCTCTTTCTTTTTTATCTTTGATGCACAAGTTTGTAGCAGACAACGGGTTTTCAGTACTGGAAGGAGATGTGGGCGTGTGTGTTTGGTGTTCTTTGATGCAGAAACTGAGCATTCTGAGTATAAAATCATAGTGTTCCCAGCTGCTGGTGAAGTGAAACCTGCAGCCTCTGTGGGTTAAGTGTTACCACTGGGGGAAGGCACAGTGAGCGCACCAGCTGAGGTGCATCCCACCTGGCACATAGTTTTGCTTCTTTCTTGTGGATGGGAGGATATACGGTCAGGGATGAAATGTGTTCAGCCTGCCTGAAGTTTCTGAGCTGCTTTGGTACTGCAGGGAGTTTCTGTGCTCAGCCTCCCAAAGTTTTCCAAGGGATATTGGTTGTCAGTGCCATACACACCCCTCCATTCAGTAATCTCTATTCCAGACCACGCACGTTGTTTTTCTGACTTCTTCTCCCTGTACACTTAACCCATCGTATGATCTCAAACATAGCAAAACTCTTTCTGTAGGACACAGAGCCTTATTCCCAATTGTTCCAGTTGCTGCAAGGTGCAAACTGTAATTTATGTACTATGACATTGTTTTCTGATGAATATGAGGGGTTTCCCCATATATATGTATAGAGAGAGAGTTATGGCAATTAAAAGCTCCAGTCACATATATATACATACATATACATATATATATATATGTATATTCAGATGTTTATAATATCAGTGCTTCTGCAAGAGGAATTTATTTGTCTGGATATTATATCTCAAGAAATACCATTTGCAATATATATAGATATCATGATAACAGTTTGACTTGGAACTAGAATCTCTGTACGTCAGTGGTATTTGAGACTTAAGACCAACCTTGAAGAATTAAATAACTGAGGTAAGTGATGCTGTCCATAGAAGTGGAATCCTGAATGTCTTCACTGCAAGGCTGATGAGGCCAGGTGACAAAATGCTAGTAAATATGCTGGATAACAATTTTCTGTCCACCTGTCCAGGTCCTTTGCCTCATCCAGCACCTTCATATGTTTCTGAGCACATGATTTCAGATGCTTTGAGTTTTATCAGTTGCCATCTATCGAAAAGCTGAAAAATGTTCTTAAAGCTTTGAGAGAAAAGAGAAAAACCTTTACTCATGAGAAAGCACTAAAAGTTTATCCTTCTGCAACAAAAAAATACTGTTCTTACAAAACAAGAAATGCAGAAAGTTGAAAGGTGACTCTTTAATTAAAGAGATAGAGGACTTTGCTTACAATCACCTGTTGCATACACAAGGGTAAACTTCTTGGCATTGCTTTGCTCTGCATCTTACTACAGTAAAGAAAAACTATAAGGAATTGTGCAGGTCCAAGCAAATTAAAGGAAAAGAAGCTTACGACAGCCAATTTATTTCCAAAATCTAGCTTAGCAGTTCAAAAGTCCAGTGTGAAATGGTTGCAGATGTTTAGCGGTGCAGGAAAACACATCATGTCTCAGAATTTATTAGGTTTTATTAGTTATGGTTAAAATGATAAGTGTGACTGGAGCTTTTAATTGCCATAACTCTATAACAATGGAGTTAACAATAACTCTTCAACCATAAACTGAAAACTATAAATCTGCGTGAGGCCCTATGCAGTGCTGACATGTTCTGTGATGGCTGGAGCTTTTCCGTGGAAGCATGTAGATTTGTTAGTGAAAATTGCATTTTACTATCTTTGGTGTGGCACTCTCATAAAGTAAACTCTACTATTAGATTACGAGGCTTGTGTAAATCTCCAGCTGAAGCCAGCCTGCCTCTAGTCAGAGCCTGTAAGTAATTCATTGGGGATGGCTGCCTTCCAACCTCTATGAAGAGGGTGTTAAAGTCTTCGCAGGCAGACGGGGCAGCGGTAACTTCTAGCACTGATTTGCCAGGGCTTTGGAGATGGTGTGTGCTTTATGCTTTTAATTGTCTTGGACGCTCAATCTGCATTCACAGCTATGAGGTCAACGTGCCTCTGTTCACTTTTGGCTGTACTTGAAGCTCATCACCGAAACAAAATCCAACCGTCTGTAATCCATAGTCGAAGGAATCACTGTGCTCTGAGTTAACCTCCTGCTGACTTTGGTGGGTTCAGTGCCCTGTGCTCAGTGCAGGGAGGCTGAGCTGGAGCCACTCTTCTCCAGGGAACAACACTGGGAACTTCACTGACACTTTCCATATTGGTATCAGTGTCAGTGGAAGGGGTAGGATGTACGGTGTTGGGATCATGTGGAAGTATTGTGCCTTCTGTGAAGCTATAGGAATGTATATTGCCTTGGTTTCAACCTCTGAAAATGCACAGAGGCTTGGTTTTATCTTTCCTTGAGCCTTCTACTAGGGCAAAGAAGCCATTCTATGCAAGTATAGTAACCAATAGGCATAAGTAATTTTTTTTTTTTTCTAGGATTCCTCTAATTAGGAGCTCTAAATAGTCAGAATACCAGCCCATGCATTCCAAATGTATGAAAGCTACTGGTTTATATTCTGAGTAAAAATTATTTTCCAGATAGCATCACCTGACAGCTGCTGCCTTTCCTGCTTTCCTTAGCTGTAACTACCAATCTGCCTGGCAGGCATTTCCCTCCAACACTGAGCAGAAGCACAGTGCTGAGCGGAGGTTAGACCCTGCTGGGACCATGCTGCTGTCTCCATGCAGGTGGCAGATAGGATAACACGCTTGTGGCAAGAAGGATCCCTCAGATGACCTGCAGCAATGGCAACTCCCTAAATCTATGTGTTCACTAATGCCTTGTGCTCAGGATGTTAAGGTAGAGGCTGAAATGCATTATTTTATACTGGGGAAACAAAACTGCATGCTAGGGGAGGACCTTTGGTGTGCTAAACACTTCTTGCCAACATATTTATATTCTGTGGGGAGGCTACAGGTAGCTAATTGAATATCTGGAAGGAAGTGCTGCCCTACTACAGAGCATAGGTCTATAGACAAGGAGGGGCCACGAGTTTGCCATCCAAATCTGGACAAATGCGTTTAGAGAGTGTGAAGCAAAATACATTAAGGTTCCTATGGCACATAATAAACCAGGGTTACCACTGGAGGATGCATTGGCTCCCACGTCCCAGGGACTGCAGCTCTGCAGGGAGTGAGTCCCAGGTTGCAGGAACAGTCCCTGTGAAATTCCACTAAGCAAGAATGCAAGTGCCTGAAGAAGAGCAGGCACCTAGCCTGTCCACTCCATCTGCCCAATAAAGATAGCAGTGTCTTCAGGGGGCAAAGTTATCTGTTTTTGTTTTGTTTTTAACTTAAAGGAGGAGATAAGGTTTATGTGATTTCCAAGCCCACTGATAAATGCTTGAGACTCCAAAGTCATAGTAACTTCACTGCTGGACAAATGTTAATTCTCCTCTGTAGCTAAGAGAACAAACACCACTTGATTTTGATAGCAGTGACTGTGTCTGATATTTGCAGAGTCGGGGAGCAGCTGTTATCCCTGCTGCCATCGGATTTTAAATACCTTTCTACCTGTCCACCGACCTCTCAACTCTCTCCCCTTGACTAGTGGTATGTTTGCATCTCAGCCTCCCAGCATCTAAAAGCCAAGATTCAAGCTTTCTTCTCATTTCTGCATATTGACAGAAAATCTTCACCATGCAGTGAGTCCTGGAAGCTGCCACACTCACCAGTCTAATTATCCCTGTTTTTCCTAAGTATCCTCACACTCCAGCACTAGAAAGTTAATGCCATTCCACTTTCCACAAGTCACTTCTTCATTTGCTTGCTGTGTGGTTTGCCACAGCACCCAGACTTTTGACTCTCAGCTAGTCTTAACTCTCCTTATTCTAAATAAGTACATGCCTGAACTTTTCCTTGCCTCATGTTGTTCTCATGGTAATCCAAAGATCCAGCTTTGACAGAATTATTTGGGGCAGTGAACTGAAAAATGGAAATTTCATCTCGAAGAAGAAGCTCAAAGAAATTCCAAGATGTTCTTGCTACATAGCAATAACTATTTTAACCAGTGTTGGCATTATATTCCAAAGGGAAAAAAATGCCTAAGAGGTATTAGACATAATTTTGAGAATTAGTTAGAAAACAGCTTTTGGTGAATCTCAAAGAGGTTAACAGCTCGCCCTCAGGTCGGATAAGCATCCCAAAAGCTGCGGGCTTTTTGCTTGGTTGAAATGTCTTTGTGTTTATCAGAAGGCTTATGAGCTGGAGATCTGTGAAACTGATGTGAGAAAGCTAGTGGTTTCGATTGGTGATATTCCTTGGTGTGAGCTGAACTTTACCTGTTACCATTTCTAAAATCAGCCCAAAGCAGAAAATTTACCAGAATGCAAAAATGTCATTAAACATTCCCCAAATATTTTCATATATGCCAGAATGGGTCTGATTTATGTTCTAGTGAAAGGTTGCATTGATTTTTATATGAACTGTGTCCTCACCTTCTTAAGGTTGGCTTTTTTCACATAATGGGCTTGATTGTGAGGAAAAAAAATGACTTGTGCAACAAATAGCTTGAACAACTCAGTGTTGAATTAAAGTGAACTCAGTCAGAGCCCATTTTGGAGGCAAAGTGGGCATTTCCTCGTGAGAATGACTACATGTAGGGTTTGTACTCATGGTGATGGATGACTACAAATGCAAATAATGTGCACAGTTATGAGGATAACTAATTTGTCATGCTTCTTATGACCGGAGTGCTGGAGGTGTTGCGAAAGGCAACGTGTTCATAGGCCTGACTATTACTCACTACTTCTGGGGAAAGTGTTGGTCTAGAAAATTATCAACTTTGATGTAAAACAGACTTCAGAAAAGTATTTCACACACCGGTATTTACAAGAGGACGTTTCAGTTATTCTGTGATTTACAGAGCTGGATGGAAGCAGAACCCCATAGATCTATCATGAGGGAAACACATTTAGTAGTAGCACTGAAATCAGTGATCTAAGTCAATATTTGGATTCTTTGTCCTCAGTGGATTTAACAACCATTTCA